AAAAAAAAAACAGGAAGGGGGCAAAAACCTTTTCACAGCACTGTAGATGTAAGTATAGTTTAGAACTTACAGCAAATTAAATGTGCTTTAACAAACTTCATCGTAAAAAAAACGGTCTAATGAGAAAAACTGTATTTACATTAATAAATAATGCAATTAAATAAGTGAGTCTTTCTTTCATGCTCATTTTGGGTTTGAGCCTCTCAGTTGTTCTTGATCACTGACCATCTACATGACTGACTTGACACGTTCTGTAAATAGCAATGTCTGATAACAACCAAATTGCACATTTAAAGCAACACTGCATGCTTGAACACAAACACACAGCTGAAATGAGCTGTTAAACACACACTGCTGACTCAGTGTCACTGAGGGGTGCAGCGACCGCTGCTCTATGTGCCATTAGAAAAAAAAAATAAAAAATTAAAACATTCACACACACATACTCAGCTCAGCTTGAACGCAATAAGGCTGATAAACCACTTTATCGCCACTTCCCCAAATCCTACATGCAGCACTTCTTTCTGTCCATCAGACGGTCATTTTTCTCTTTCTGACAGACAGTGCAGCTCGGCTCGGCTGATGGACATGAGGTCTCTGCTGATACTAGCAGGTAAAAAGATAAAAGCTCAGCATCATTTTATTGTCAGATTCTGTGTAATCAATGTTTGGACAGCTCTCTGCTACAATAAAGTTGAAGTTTATTTCAAGCCAGTTTACAGCTTTCACTCAACTGAAGAGGCAAATTACTTAACAAGCTTTGTTCGTCTAGTTAACAAACTGGCATTAAACGGTGATAAATGTTGACAATTTTCCAAAAAAGAATCCAATTTCAGGGCAAACATCACAGGAAATATTAATTATTATATATTTTTTTTTGGTGACAATACTGTTACTCAGATTTGCATTACAGTGGCACAAATTTTTTTTTTTACATATGTAAAGATGTTTTGATAGTTGTGGTACTTGTACCCAATATTTTGCATAATTAACAAACTTTCATTATGCACAATACCGACAGATCATTATTATTATTTTTTTAATATTGCAAAAATATAATATATAGTATATAATATTTACTGTGCTTCAAAGAAAGCAAAATCTGTCATTAATTTTGTTGGGTGATTAATGCTTAAAATATATATTTTTTAACTCCTTAGTCATCATTCAGAAATATTTCACCAATGTAAGTTGCAACTGACCAATCAGAAAAAGTCTTCCAGAGAGATATGTAGTTAAACACAGAAATACATTTGAAATGACATCTCAGAAGTTCTGGTGTGGTGATTATCTGGGTTTTAGACACTGCTGGGTGGTGACTGGGTGTGGCCGTCTCATTCCCATGACAATAAAGCTACAAATTAAAGAAAAAACTGAAGATTCTCAGTCCAGAAATAATCGTATTGATCTTTTTATCTCACAGTGTTGTTGGCTCTCATAAGGGAAGACAATGGACAGAAACCAACAGGTGAATACACACATTTCACTGCACACATATCTACAGATTGTGCGTATGGCCAGATCAACTGAAATAGTACATGTGGTAAAGATCAGTGAATAAAGATGATCAGCTCTACTTGATCCTCAAAAAAACAAAACACACATT